GCGCGACAACACAGCTGATAAGAACTCGCGCGACACACAGCTGATAAGAACTCGCGCGACAACACAGCTGATAAGAACTCGCGCGACAACACAGCTGATAAGAACTCGCGCGACAACACAGCTGATAAGAACTCGCGCGACAACACAGCTGATAAGAACTCGCGCGCGACAACACAGCTGATAAGAACTCGCGCGCGACAACACAGCTGATAAGAACTCGCGCGCGACAACACAGCTGATAAGAACTCGCGCGCGACAACACAGCTGATAAGAACTCGCGCGCGACAACACAGCTGATAAGAACTCGCGCGACAACACCGCTATTCAGTACGCGTGCGACAACACCCGCTTTAGGGTTTTCCAGCTCTTTTTCATCCCCGCTTCTAGCAGCACACTCCATTTCCGCATTACTGGATCTGTAGCGACAACAGACCACAAGGGATTATGGCCAAGCCTGGGCTGATGGGAATTGTAGTTTCCGGTACCTCCCGTTCGCTTCATTCGCCTGAGCAAATTTTCTCAGAAGACCTATAGTTTCACCGAGTCATGCGACTACGGTAATATCGAAAAAAATTAATATTGCGGTATGACGGTATTTACAATACCGTTACATCCCTAGTATAAACCGCTACGAGAAAGAAAAAAAAACATTTAAATTCTCAGATTCTCTAGTTCAGGGGTGTCCATACTTTTTGGGCAGAGGACCAGATGCAAAAACAAAAAAAAACGTTGTCGCGGGCCAAATTTTACATACATCAAACAAACACGCGCATATATATATATATATATATATAACGTCTAAAAACCAATGAGAACAGAAGTCTTAAGCCAAAAATATTTCAATGGCGGCAGCTGCTTGTACATGATAAATAAACTCAATTATGTTCTATGGGTTTCAGCCATGAGGCGTCACTAGACCCTATTTACTGGGACACATGCCCCAGTAAAAATCGCCTGTTCCCCATGCTTTGAGTTAGTGTTTACTTTTTATATGTAAGTGCATTATTTAAGGGAGTTAATCCCAGAATAAACATTATTCTCTATGTACAACGAAATCAATGCTTGTAAAAGAACTGTAGTTTAATTGAAACAAACTGACGCATACATACAGAAAAACTTAATGCTGGCGTGCTGCTCCTGCTCCCGGCGTGAATCCTTAGGAAAAATAATGCGCTGCTCATACAGATACGGCTACTGAGAATGCGCGAGTGATTTAAAGTAATGTTGCACGTCTCCGCAGTAAACTGCAGCAAGGCAGAACAAGGTCTAACATATGAAATACATGGCCAGCAGGGGGCAGCTATGTAACATATTGAGCATACTGAACTGATATACTGTAGCAGCCAGAGCACGCGAGCTAATCTGTGTGAAAGCGCCATTCTTTCTTGAGCTTTTTTTCTTTCAGTAAAGTTTTTTTAATAAGATTTTAATAGGCCCTAGTGATCAACTGTGTATTTTTTGCCTATTTATTTAGACAGCTGTGTGTGTGTTATACTATATAGTTTAACTGACTGTTAGCCTATTTTAAACTAGGAGCTCTGAACATAATTCGAATAACAAATTCGCTTCCACGACCACGTCTTATTAACGCATATCCTGGTTTTAATTAAAGTTATACTTTAATAATTGATTATGAAATGGAATAATTTGTTTCTAAAATAGTCCTACTAAATCTATAAAACTAAAGAAATAACATTGTAAAACTAGCCCAACAGCCAGGAGGTGTCAGCATGCAGTAAGTTTTGCAAGTGTGCAAAACTAATGGGTGCGGTTAAAGGGTCACGAAACACCAAGACACATGTTTTGAGCTGTTGACAGTCGTATATGTGTCCCACACTGCTAAAAACACTATTAGGACACCTATATTTCACTAAAAAGTGTAAATTGGTTGTTTTTGCGTTATTTCAAGCAAATTCGTACTTCCGGTTTGAAACGAATTTTTGAAGCTGCGTCACGGTCATGACATAATAGCGTGTATTCCAGCGTGCAGACTGGACGTCTGTGCCAGAGTGAGTGTTATTACCAATGACTGTAAAAAATATGGACGACGCGACAGCCCTTTTTCCCATTGAACGCCTTGAGGGCAAAACGCCTGCTTGACGGGCACAAACTGTCGCAAAAGACTGCTGAAATTGGAGCCAGACATGCGCAGAAGGACTGTCTGATGGAGCCAGAGGAGGAGCCGCGAAAATGAGCGGAGTCGAGCTTCCAATCAAACGCTTTATGTAAAATCAACTACGCCCCCCGAACTTCTCAGCATGCGTTTGCTGTCATATCAACACAAATGGATTTAATAACGTTAACAAATATGAGGGTTTTATATATTCAATCGCGCCAGCTCCAGGCCGCAGCGCACAACTTACTCGCGGCGTCGCGGGCTGATTCCGGCTCGCATGCGGCAGCGCCGGCTCGCTCGGCCGCCGCATCTGGCTCGATTGACTCGGACTGGGATCGGGCAGTGAGTCCAGGCATCCGGAGTAGGTCCAGCAGAGGTAACATTAGTCAGTCTGAGCTCTAAGAGATAAGTCTCCGGCAGGCGAGAATCTAGCCGGAACTGTGTCTTGCTATCTGGGTGGTTAGGCGTGTATCAGCAAACTAATAAAGCCCGAAAAAAGCCCTGAACTTAGCGAATAAACAGTGTTCCACCAGGATCATGTATGTCAGAAACTATAGTTTACTGCTAAACTCATTTTGTCATGGTAAAATAACACAGAAATCGAATAATAACATTTCAGTCTACTTCAGTCTCCTGCCGAAGCTCAGACGCCGCGCTTTGAGAAACTGTCAATCACAGCTGTCAATCACGATGACACGCCCAGCATTAAATTACTGCTAAAAACAAACTGTTTACAAAAATGAAGATCTGCACCTATTTCAGCACAATAACCAGTGCCTTAATCGACCAGAACTATCTTTCGGGACATTTTATTGCAAGTGTAATATTTTTTTTTTATTTGGGCTCAAGTCTCCTTCATTAACACGGAGGAGGTGGGCTTTATGACTTGTACTGCAGCCAGCCCCCAGGGGGCGATCTAACGGCCGAAACCTTCACTCAAACGTAGGCTTGCGGCACACTTGGTTATTACGTCTTACAGTGTGATGCATTAATGCATGAGTAAGGCTTGGTTTAAACCAATCAGCGCGCTCTATTGTGCAACTTCATTAATATTCATTACTGTCACAGTGTTTAGACGACAGACACACCACGTTGTGTTGGCAAAACAAGCGTGAAGTGTTGCTTTTATAGTTTGCAGCAGTTAAGTTTCGTTTTCATTTTCTCTCTGTGAGAGCTCAGACTCACGTGTAGATTAACAGTGTACGCGACGCTCGACAACAATAACTTATGTGTCTAAGGAGGATTATTGTTTACCTGAGAGCTGTTCTCATCTGCAAACGCTGAGATCTGGATTCGCTTGTAGTCTTCTCTTAATAAAGACGCGGCTCTAGTTGCTGGTGATTGTCCTGTCTCTACAGATTTGGTAAGTGAGCGACCAGTGCTCTTTGTTTATTCAGTTTGTTCATATCGAACTAAGTTAACTATTGCACCGAGTGTAAACATGTTAGCACCACAACCAAACTTTAACCTCGTGTAGGGTTTTTCACCGCATTTAGTGACCGGAATAACACAAGCGGCTTTCTGACGCTACCTGCCGTGTGCATCTAAGTTTCCGGGAAATGCGGAGGGTTTTTTTCTCTCATTTGCCGTGCGGTATCAAACATTGCATGAAAAATACACGCTTAGAGCAGCTCATCGAATCAAATATCTCGTTTGTCGCGAGGGGCATGAATGAATTCCCTGAATGAAAGAGCCAAACTGCAGTTAAAGTCCAACATTTAATAATTTGGCAAATAATTCGACTACAGATGTAGGTCAAACACCATCACTTTCTCCTGTGTGTGTGTGTGTGTGTGTGTGTGTGTGTGTGTGTGTCTATTTTGACTCTGAAACTCACGCATGCCCAAATAGACACTCCCACACCATCTTACTTTAGTTCCTCCGACACTCTCCCCTAAACAGAGCTGGACACGCCCACTTTTCTGACTTTTTCCAAAGTAGAGGTGTGAAAACACCCTGCTGAAATGAGGGGGTTTCATGGCCCTTTAAGGGCCTGTGGCCTAGTAAAGCTTTATGTCTAGCAACATCTCTGTTTTCAGCAATTAATGGCAAGAAAATTGGATACCCTCATAAAGCTTCTCTCACCTGGGTGTGAAGTCGCAGCCCTGCTGCATGAATGCGCCGAGGGAGAACCAGAGACTGTTGAAGATGCCGAACTCATTGGGGGGCTGGTCGCTGGGCGGACCGTCGGAGCCTTCCTCTGGCTCCTCGGTGTGCCACTCGTACGGGCTGAAGCGGCTGACCAGGAAGAGCACCACGCTCACGCCGATGTAGGCGAACACGATGCACATCCAGATCTCGTAGGCCAGCGGGTCCAGGAAGGAGAAGACGCCGGGTTTGGACTTTTGCGGCTTCTTGATCATGATGGAGATGCCCAGACTCATGAAGGGCTTGGAGAAATCAATCACCTCCTCCCGGACCAGAGTGATGGTCAAAGGGGCCACAGCGATTTCCGCTTTCTGTGGATGGAGGAGAAAGGCTGAGATTAGGGATGCAAATGATGATCCAGTAGTTGTCGATAAGACTTTTAATTGATACAACAATATTGATTTTCCGTTGATAGAATGGTTCATCATTTACTTATCCTTTACTGGATTCAAACAAATATTTCGAGTTTCATTTTTCTTCTAAAGGGCACCTATGATGAAAATCAACATTTGTGAGCTGTTTGAACACAATTGTGTATGGTTTAGTGTGTCCACAGTCATATTGAAGTGACAGAAACACAACGAGTCTCTTTTTTGAAAATTCCTGATTGTAAAATTGGATCCAAATGTCATTGATTTTGAGGCCTACTGCAGTCTGATGTAGGAGTGCAGTTTTCCCTGCGCTGAATTGATTGACATGAGCATATTAACCTGTCTCCATAAATTAATACATGCCCACAGAACAGGATTTGCAAAGAAAATCGGATTAAAAGATTTGTGTAACTCTCTGTGATCAGCTGCAATTTAAGAATGAGTTTAAACATTTTTAAAACTGTGCATGTTTGTAATAAATACCATAAAACCATATTCATAACCTCTGGAATTAGCACAGTCACATAGAGGCTATATGAGAACATTTCAGGTAATATTCATGACCCTTCCAAATATGGTCAAAATCAACAATCTATTATAAGGGCCAATTCTAATAGGGTTGCAAATAGACTTGCAAAACCATTTCTGGAGAATTTTCATACTTACCTCAGCCACATATGTTCAGAGAACAATTTAAAACATTGCATTAGTGTATTCTATGGCACATTTAAAGGATGAGTTATGCTATGTGCGTTGCAGTACACCTCATAGTCACGCATGTGCTGTTGTAATTCCTTATTGAGCTACCAGAAGCTTTACTGTGGCATCAGTGTGTCCAAACATAGTTTTTACAGCCCATAAATTTCCACCAAACCCTTTTTAACAGGTCTAGATAATGAAATATCTTGTTAGCGATTCATTTTATGGCACATTTACAGTAAGTACAAGATTGAAGCGGTTGGTTTTATCAATGAGTGAAGGCTCTTGGGCATCCAAGGGACTTGCAGACAGTAATGTTTACACTGCCTCAGTGATTTAAAACAAGTAAAAGGTCATAGCTCGTTAATATTCATGACCCTCCCAAATATAGTCAAGGTCAACCATCTACTATTAGGGGCCGATTCCAATAGGGTTACGAAAGGACTTGTAAAACCATTTCTGAAACCAATTTTTACACATACCTCAGCCACATATATTCAGAGCACAATTTAACACATTGCATCAGTGCATTCTATGGCACATTTAAAGGATGAGTTACGCTGTGTGCTGTGCAATACACATTACATAGTCATGTCTGTGCAGTTGAAATTCTTTTATTGAGTCACTAGAATCTTTTCTGTGGCATCAGTGTGTTTTACAACCCATAAATTTCCACCATACTATTTTTAACAGGTCTAGATAATGAAATATATTTTGAGCGATGCATTTTATATTACATTTACAGTAAATATAGTATTGGAGGAGTTTGTTTCATCAAGGAATGGATGCTTTTGGGCAGCCAAGGGACTCAATGGTTTAACACAACTAAAAGTTCATAGCTCATTAATATTTATGACCCTTCCAAATATGGTCGAAACCAACAATCTATTATAAGGGCCAATTCTAATAGGGTTGCAAATAGACTTGCAAAACCATTTCTGGAGAATTTTCACACTTACCTCAGCCACATATATTCAGAGAACAATTTAATACTTTGCATCAGTGCATGCTATGGCACATTTAAAGGATGAGTTACGCTATGTGCTGTGCAATACACATTATTTAGTCTTGTCTGTGCAGTTGTAATCCCCTTATTGAGTCACCAGAAGCTTCACTGTGGCATCAGTGTGTCCAAACATGGTTGTTACAGCCCATACATTCCCACCAAACCCTTTTTAACCGGTGTAGATAATGAAATATCTTTTGAGCGATGCATTTTATAGCACATTTACAGTAAATATTGTATTGGAGGAGTTGGTTTCATCAATGAATGGAGGCTTCTGGGCATCCGAGGGTCTTGCGGACTGTAATGTTTACAGTCCGCAGTCCGCCTCAGTGGTTTAACACAAGTGAAAGGTCATAGCTCATAAATATTCATGACCCTTCCAAATATGGTCAGAACCAACCATCTAATATTATGGGCCGATTCCTATAGGGTTACGAATGGACTTGCAAAACCATTTCTGGAGAATTGTTACACTTACCTGAGCCACATATATTCAGAGAACAATTTAAAACATTATATTAGTGCATTCTATGGCACATTTAAAGGATGAGTTACGCTATGTGCTGTGCAATACACATTATGTAGTCTTGTCTGTGCAGTTGTAATCCCCTTATTGAGTCTCCAGAAGCTTTACTGTGGCATCAATGTGTCCAAACCAGGTTGTTACAGCCCATACATTTCCACCAAACCCTTTTTAACAGGTGTAGATAATGAAATATCTTTTGAGCGATGCATTTTATAGCACATTTAAAGTAAATATTGTATTGGAGGAGTTGGTTTCATCAATGAATGGAGGCTTCTGGGCATCCGAGGGTCTTGCGGACTGTAATGTTTAAACCGCCTCAGTGGTTTACCACAAGTGAAAGGTCATAGCTCATAAATATTCATGACCCTTCCAAATATGGTCAGAACCAACCATCTAATATTATGAGCCGATTCCTATAGGGTTACGAATGGACTTGCAAAACCATTTCTGGAGAATTGTTACACTTACCTTAGCCACATATATTCAGAGAACAATTTAAAACATTATATCAGTGCATTCTATGGCACATTTAAAGGATGAGTTACGCTATGTACTGTGCAATACACATTATGTACTCTTGTCTGTGCAGTTGTAATCCCCTTATTGAGTCACCAGAAGCTTTACTGTGGCATCGGTGTCTAAACATGGTTGTTACAGTCCATAAATTTGAGCGATGCTTTTTACAGCACATTTACAGTAAATATAGTATTGGAGGAGTTGCTTTCATCAATGAATGAAGGTTTTAGGGGCGTCTGAGGGACTTGCGGACAGTAATGTTTACACTGCCTCAGTGGTTTAACACAAGTAAAAGGTCACAGTGGAAGTAGGGCATCTTTCGTCCCTCCTGGTGCCTGTAGGAAAACATGAAGTGGTTTCACTGTTGGATTTAATTAGAGGCCTCCAGCAATAGAGAGAGAAAGCGATGCTGTTAATGCAAGCAAGAGGTCGCATTCAAACTCTATGAAGCACGTCTGCAGTTCAATACAGAGTCGCAGAGCAGAAAACGCTGTATTGTATTCCTCTTTTTTTTTTTCTTATAAAAAAATCCCTTGAGCAACCCAAGGCTCATAATTAACATTTTCTGCAATTCCCACTAACTTGAACTGAAGATTGTAATAGACGTGAGTAATTTGTGAATCCGCCTGCCCTCTAAAGCATGACTCTGAACATTTCAGCTGAATAAAGAGACTGCGCTTGTATGCTTTTTCAGCAGCTGCGGTGCTGAAAATGTATTTTTCATTTATTTTCTCCAGCTGTGTTGGAAAAAAAAAATGCAGTTATAAGCCTTGAACCAAACCCACCAGCATTTAGATTAATCACAACACGCTGTGCAAAGAAAAAAAGGGTTAGAGAAAATGCTGTAAAAGACCAAGGAAGAACAGTACATTTTAATGGTACATCTAATACTTTTACTATTTAACTTTAAAGTGTTAGTTCACCCCCCAAAAAACAACATTTAATTTTCATTTACTCTCTCATATATGGCTCCAAACCTTTTTTGTTTTGTATCTGGTAATCCATGCCTTTAAAAAGATATGCTTGTATATTAACACAGGGCTCGAAATTGCGACCATTTTGGTCGCATATGCGCCCGAAATTTTATCTATGCGAGCTTAAAATAAATTTGGGAGCATTTCTGCAAGTGCTTAAAATTGTTGTGTGCGACCAGTTTTTACTGCAAAATGTTCACCACATGTGCGAATTCGGGAGACATTCACGCAGAATGCATCTCTAAGCTCTTTGTCTGCACTTGAAACACAGCGTTTGGGAATGGTTTAAAACAGTTGTCATGTCAACTTGCTGCAGTAAACAAAGCTAAGTCCGTAATGCTTGCCCCGCCTTCGTGCTCTTCTTATTGGCCCACTACTGCTATAGGACTAAACGCGAATGATTGGTTAATATCAGCTGTCAATCACTCAGCGCCTTCTGGCTTGGGATGACAGAGAGAGAGCTGCTACCGCGAAAAATTGTAAAGCCCTGAAGATGAGAATAAAGAAAACACTGACAGATTTAGTTTTAGAAACCATGGCATCTAAAGTTACAAATAATGACACATCTTACTAGTGACCATGTGCTGAATGTTAATCCACCATCTACACTTTTTCAAGAGTAGAAGACTTCCATTGGCTTCAAGTCTGCTATGAAAAGTCTGTGGGATGGAGTTTTCAGGTAACTGTTTGCCACATCTAGCACGAGAGCTTCTGTTTAATCCTTCATATAATCGCCAGATGCTGTCCGCCGTGCACGTGGCAGATATAAGTCAAATTTAACACCACGTACACCATCACAAACAGGCTTACACTGAGTAAACTAACATCACTACTCCTAAAAAAAAAACGGTATTGCTATTAACATGTATGCATATAATAAGGTACAGTATGTGTCAAAAGCATCAGTGCAATATCAGACAGCACTTGTGAGAACAGCACAGTTATACCGTTAACAGATTCATTCAAGCAGTGTGTGCAGGGCCGGTGAGCGCTCCGTGTATGCTTTGGTCACTCAGTTCTGTTATAAAAATCTATTTTCTTGTGATAACGGGATTTCGTTCAGACATATTTTCCTCATGCTTGCATATATGTGCAGGGCTCAACAATAAGGACTGCCCGGTGGCCCGGGGCCAGCGTGAAAGACACTCGGGACAGTAGACAGGATTGCTACTGGCCCCTATCGGCCAGCAAGGATGAGCACGTTTTGTTTTTTGTTTTT